TGTTAAGAGAAAGTACATACTCATGCACTGTAAATTTAAATATTATCAGTGGACCCTGGGGATTCTAGACCAACCCACCCATTTCTAACACTGGTACTGAGAGAATTTCTCAGGTCCCGGTTTTATTCCCAAATACTAGTTGTTCGGCTATGTAGCTACCATAACATATGCAGACTATTGTTCTATCATGACCAGTTAGGAGCTGACTAGAGATGAAATTTTGTGCAAACTTGGAAGTTTTGTAAAATGGCAAACTAGTTTAGCACTTTAAATACTAATCATTTTCAAATCTTGCTTTTGAAGCATGACTTTCGAAAAAACAAGTATTTTGGAAGAACATTCAAACCAACCAGCATTTTGCTCAAAAATCCCACCCACCCATTGTTTTATTTCTGGTCTACATAAAAGGCACAGCATCAGTGTATTAGTTTTCTAAATACTGGAAGAAAGTTAATTCATTTGAAATGTTGGAGAAGAGTTTTATGGATACTGTGGACCACCAAAATCACAGCAATATTGACCTCCTCCTAGAAACTAAAATGACCAAACTGAGGCTATTGTACCTTGATCACATTATGAGAAGAGTAACTGGAAAAGACAATAATGCTAAGAAAAGAGGAAGACCCGACATGAGATGGATTGACTCAATCAAGGAAGCTGCAGCTCTCAGTTTGCAAGACCCGAGCAAGGCTGTTCATGAGAGGACATTTTGGAGGTCATGAATTCATCGGGTCACCATAAACTGGCAGTGACTTGATGGCAATGAACACACACAGGCATGTATTAATGAGAATGGCAAGAAAAGAAGTTCATGGTTAGGTCAGGTTCTAGGAAGATAAGGGGAACTCCCATCTCCATGGTGGGTTCAGCAAAATAGTTCCATTGTCCACACGGATTACAATTTCCCCTTGACAGCAGAGAGAAAGCTCCTGGTCACAACTGATACAATAAGGGAACTGGAAGCCCATTGGCTGTCTTAAGGGCCAGTCTTGGATCACTTCAGTTTGCTCTCCCAGGACGAAGTCAACAAGATCCTGGCAGCTACGAAGCCCATTACTCGCCTCCTAAATCCCTTCCCATCGTGGCTGGTTAAAACCTGTGGCAACGAGGTGCGGACCCCCTCCCCAGGGAGATAATCAACTTCTCCCTCTCAACAGGGACCTTCTCTACATGGGGCTGCCCTTGACTCTGCTCCGGAAGTTGCAGCTAGTACAGAACGTGGAAGCACAGGTGTTGCCGGCGACACCTGTGCGGGCTCGCATACACCCAGTGCTGCATAAAATGCACTGGCTGCCTATCGAATTCTGGATCCGTTTCAAGGTGCTGGTACTCACCATTAAAGCTCTATACGGCCAGGGGGCAGCATACCTTAGAGACCGCTTCTCCCCATATGAGCCCCGGAGGTCACTGAGGTCTGCAAATCAACATCTCCTAGCAATCCCCGGCCCCAGGGATGTCTGACTAGCCTCAACCAGCGCCAGGGTTTTTTTGGCCCGCCCTTTCCCCCACCTGGTAGAAAGAGCTCCCAGTTGAGATCTGGGCCCTGTGAGGTCTATTACAGTTCTATAGAGCCTGTAAGACAGAGCTCTTCCACTGAGCTTTTGGTTGAGGTGGCAGGCATCCCTCTTGGCTATCTCTCCTCCAGTGGCCTGGACCCCCATATTAGGACACTGCTGAATTAACTAACTTTTCATGGTATTTTAGGGTTTTATTGCTTTATATTGTTTTTAATGGTTGCTTTACTGTTATATTAAAAATTGTTGTAAACTGCCCTGAGCCCGCTCGCAGGGAGGGCGGTATATAAATCAAATAAATACACGTACAGATGAAGGGACTACTGAGATTCAAGACTAAGGCAGAGCGGCAGCAGCAACTTCGGTCTTCCTAAAACTTTGAGCAAAGCATGGGGGGTGGGAATGGCAAAGAGGAAGTGCTTGCGTGAACACACATGGTGCATACAAACCTTCATGCAATACAGATGGGTGATAGATGAACAGGTATATCACCAGAAGTCTGCCCTCTCAGTGCTCAGGAAAGACTGAAAGATACATCTGCCTGAGTGTGGAAGTGCTGAAACTGGGAACAGACATTTCAATAGGCCAGGAGAGAGCAGGATTTATTAGCCTGGCTCCACTGATGCTTAGTACAGTGATATCTGGCTGCCAAATACCCTTGGATGAGGATCCCTTTATCCCCAGACAAAGAAAGCTAAGGGTGTGGAATGCAGGGGGGGGGGGGAGCCTCAAACCATTCAGCATTAGCAGCAAGCAATGCACCCTTCACTTATCTAATCACATTACTCAGCAGTTTACAGCACAGTTAGTTTACTGTATCAGCTTCCCTTATTGTGCCTTCTATTCCCAACCATCACTGCTAGGCCCGTCCCGCTTTCCTTTTGCACTGGGTAATCAGGCACAAGGGCCATAATGGAATATACTAAGATAGCAGGCTACCTGAAGTGAACTGGACTGGGATTGACAGGGCCTTACAATCAGTTAACCTCTACTACCATGCCACAATTATCAGGTGATGTTTTCTGTGAAAAGCTTCAGCTGCCCATTAAACATCTATTCAAGAGACAGGGTGTTCTTTCCCATCCTACTGGCAACCTTACTTACAATGGGTTGTATGGGTGAAGTTTTCTTTTTCCTTTTTGGCATTTTTCTGTAATGACGTAAACAAGCTTTCTGGGTGTGCCTAGTTTATGAGTAAGCAGTTACCGAAATGAAAATGTTGGATCTGGCATTGCTAGCACACCATCATTTCCTTTCCATTTCCCTGTTGGAAGAGGGCTTAGTCTGATAGGCAAAGAGACCAGAGGCCCACAGCACAGTGGGCTGAGAGGTGCTCTTGCTCACCCCTACCATTTCAATTTCAGAAAGAGGTGTGCAGCATATGTGCGCAGCCATTTTTGGCACTTGATAAGGTTTGGGGAGGGGGCAAGAGCCCGTCCTCACTGCCTTTTTAAATGACTTTAAAATAACAGCAGCATTCTCACAGCAGCCATGAGGAGTCTAACATGTCTAGCTTGGCTCTAAGTGAAAGTGGTACCAAGTCACACCTTCAGCCTACTTGGGAGAAAGAAAAATGGCAGCCTCCACATGAAAATATAAAACCCAGTAGCTGATTAAATGTGTCTCTAGCACCAAACCATGCTATCACTTATTCAAGGAAGCGTGATTGTGAAAATCCCAAACACTTCAGAGCTGATAAGCAGGCATGCTGATAAAATAGCCACATCTCTGGAAGCAGCCTCGTCTGATGAAGTGAACTCTGATCTTGCAAACTTTCGTTGGAATAAATGTCACCATCAGTATTTGAAGTGGCCCTAGATCTGTTTTATTTTGGTGCTGCAAGCTAACATGGCTACCCCTGTGCAATTATACTCTGGTCCCAGTAACTGTTGTAGACCCTTTGTTTAATGGATAGTTTGTGTTGGTTACAAATAAGAAAACACACTTCAGGGTATGATGGAAGGCTAAATAAATTCAAAATAATTCAGAATCTAAAATAACTTGGCTTGTATTTTACTTTTCACAAAGTAGGCAACAATAATGCCTAACACTGAGGAGAAAGTTATTTGTAATGCAATTGATCAATAAAAATTTGAACATGTAAAATAGCCTAATTTTCTCCATAGGTCCACCTAGCTCAGTAATGTCTGCTGACTGGCAGAGGTTCTCCAGGGCCTCAGACAGCAGTAGCATCAGGAATTACTTGAGTAAAAACCCTACTCCAGCAAGCAAGCAAGTTGCATAATCATTTAAAAAAAATCTAAGAGATACTTAGCCTATCAGAGAATGAAAAAATGGACTAACATCAAGCTGGTCAGAGCAATCATGATCCACCAAATACAAAAAACTGAACAACTAAACTTCAGAATATGGATGACTAAATCGGCAGTAAATTGGTTCAGATGAGACAGAATAGATTACCATAAACTCATTGAAGATGGCCCCGGTTATGTTCTATCACACTCCAAAGCACACGGCCCATGATAAATGTTCTTTGCACAACCCTGATTGCAGTTTGCTTTTTGATTGAACAGTATTCCATGATGAAAACAAGTTTCTAGTCCTTCCAACTGGGAAGGACTGGAAACAATGAGGCTGAAAACTCAAGATATGCAAGTGCCGCAGCAAGTAGAAAAGATCTTTCTCAGCTACTCTTGTGACCACTCTGTATACTTGTGTTCCTACCTTTTATCCTCTTTATCAGTTCTTACTGAAATACCCTATATGGGATTATATATCCTTTAGGGGAACAAACAGAGGCAGTTTCTCCTAAGCCCATATATACCATGGAAGTGTTATGTGAAGCCACCTAACAAACGTGAACTTCAAAAGAGCTGGCATCTCCACTTGGAAGAAAACAACTGTTAACACCCCACCCCCAACCTTGGGAAAATGGTTCCTCTATTGCACTGAAACTTTTTTGCATACCATGGGGAGCTTTACCTTCAGATACTTGAGAAGCAGAGCTTTCCAAAAATCCTAGTAATAGTACACATTAGAACCTGTCACCAAGAACTGGCTCATAGACCAAACTTGCTTCTAAGCATCTCAATACCCAATAAAAGCCTCCCTGCTCAGGTACACAGCACCAATCAGTGCTGCATAAAGCAGGGGGGGGGAATAGATTCAGGTGGGTAGCCATGTTGGTCTGAAGCAACAGAACAAAGCCAGTGTCTAGTAGCACCTTTAAAATCTATGAAGTTTAATTCTGGGTATGAGCTATAGCAACCTTTGTAAAGAATTTGCTGCTTAATTCACTGATACCTCAAACCCCATAAGCACTGATAATGTCCTGTTCTGTATACAGCCCTTTGAGTTGCATGACTCCTGCAAGATAAAGTCTTGTATGCAATACAAGCCAGAGAATTCCATTTCCAGTGGTGCAGTGGAACACAGGCTATCTGCATGCTTATTGGCAACAATAGTGTAGCAATAAGGATTGGAAGGATTGGTTTGTAATGAAATGATTAGACACTCAGAAGAACAGAGGTTTCCAAGCTACCTTTATCTAGCATAACTTCTGTAAGTCATAGCTCGCTCCTCAGGTACACAGAAGCATCTGAGAAATCGAACACCAAAATAAATGTGACATCTAAGTCTTCCAAACTTATTTTGCTACCAACTGAAGTATTTCAGCAAGCAATACCTTTAAAAGGTTAAGTGTTACCAAGAGCAGTACTTATCCAACCAAATAGTTAAAATGACATGAAGCCTTTGAACCTGACAAAACTCCCAGGTGTAGTCTAAAAACTTTCCACGGTAATCTCCCTTAAACCCCTTGCACAAAACTTCAGCCACCTATCAAACTGAAGTACCACTTTATGAATAGTACACACATCTTTCAACCCATGGCAGAACATAAATGCACTGAAGAATGTGACCACACAATTGTACTAGTTTTGTTGGACTTCAATTCTAGGTTCAAATTCCAAGTTTTCTAAATGCAGTGTTTTTGTAACTTTAAAATGGCTGGATAGGAGCCGTTGGCTAAAACAAGCTAGAATTGTAAACACAAAAATCCATTATTGTGTTTGTTATTCCCAAATGAAGATTTGATGAGCTAGACTTCTTAGGTACAGTGACATGGCAGTTGAGTACATACCAATTGTTATTTGCCCATTAGTCAAGCAACATCAGGCCCACTTCATTTACTGCAGCGCTTTTATTTTCCTTTCACAATGAAGTGTTGGGCATTACAATTCTTAACTTTAGGATGACTTACAAATTTTGGTTTTCTACTGTCGTGTGACAACATTAAGGCAACGTACAAAAATCTTACATAAATTAAACCTGATGATTAAACATTAGAGCAACTCAAGTTAGAGCAATTTTGCCCTGTGATATCTTGCTGGGACACAAGCGGGCAAGGAAAGAAAAACAGGTTCATAAGGCTTGGATGAAATGTTTCCAACCCTGCTAGGAACAGTGGCAAGACAAAAACAGCCATCCTTTTCACAAAACTCCTGCCAGCCTCAACAATAGTGATCTGGAATTCTTAGCGCTTTGTGTAGTGGAAGTCTGACCTTTGTTACCCTGTACAGATCTAGCCTCAAGCTCCATTGTTACATCGCTAGTTATGCCAAGACCACCGTCCCTAGTAGTGGGACACAAGTTAAACCTTTGTAATGTATGAGTGCCACCTGTACCAAGTCTTGGGCCAGATGTATACAGGGTATGTTATATTTCTATGTACAAAGGGAACAATTAACTTGAGAACAGGGTCATATCAGCAACATGTAGACATCCTCACAGGATTATCGGAGACAGACTTCCCAATGACAATGTTTGAAGAGAAGGCTTATTCCAGTTTCATGAGGCTAGCATGAGGTGTATACATTTGCCCAGGCAAATTTATACTGGTGGTGAAAAAAAACTCATGCAGCAAACGCTACGCGTTTGCCAGTAGTCCATTTAGAAGCATTTACGGTGGACAATAGATGGGCCAGATTCGTCATATTCCTGCTTGCTGATCCACATCTGCTGGAAGGTAGACAGAGATGCAAGGATAGAGCCACCAATCCAGACAGAGTATTTGCGCTCAGGTGGGGCAATGATCTGCAAAAGCAAAGCAAGAAATATTTAGTAAATTTAGGTCACCTTCCCTGAGATGTCAGGAGTATCCAACAACAACTATCCTCACCTTTATTTTCATTGTGCTAGGAGCCAAAGCTGTGATCTCCTTCTGCATCCTGTCTGCAATCCCAGGGTACATTGTGGTACCACCAGACAATACTGTGTTGGCATACAGGTCCTTCCTGATATCTACATCACACTTCATGATAGAGTTGAAAGTGGTCTCATGAATGCCACAGGATTCCATACCTGAAAACAAAACAGCTCCAATAAATACACTGCACAGTACCTTGCGTCCAACGGACATATCTATCCAGTGTACACATTGATTTTTTGAGAATATTCATCTTACTACTGTCATTAAAAACTCACCTAGGAAAGATGGCTGGAACAGGGCCTCTGGACACCTGAATCTTTCATTTCCAATGGTGATCACCTGACCATCAGGCAATTCATAGCTCTTCTCCAGGGAGGAGGAGGAAGCAGCTGTAGCCATTTCCTGCTCGAAGTCCAAGGCAACATAGCACAACTTCTCCTTTATGTCTCGCACAATTTCCCTTTCAGCTGTGGTGGTGAAGCTGTAGCCTCTTTCTGTCAAAATCTTCATGAGGTAGTCTGTGAGATCACGGCCAGCCAAATCCAGTCGCAGAATGGCATGAGGAAGGGCATAACCCTCATAGATGGGCACAGTGTGTGTAACACCATCTCCAGAGTCCATTACAATACCAGTGGTACGGCCAGAGGCATACAGGGACAACACAGCCTGGATAGCCACATACATGGCTGGAGTGTTGAATGTCTCAAACATAATCTAAAAAAAAGAAGCATGCCATTAAAAAAATGATCACTTCTGCTCTTAACACACACACATGCAGACATGCAAGATATTTTGATGTGGGGAAAGCCAAAATAAAAGAACAGGCAGAAAAACAGAAACCTGAGACTTCAAGGAAGGAAATGCCAGGAGAGTACAGAACCCTGAAAACAATGAGAAAAAAAGAAACTGTAACTTAAAAGAAAAGAAGGTTGTGAAATGGGTGAAAGCAGCAAGTACAACAGCTCAGCTACAACACTACAACATACCTGTGTCATCTTCTCTCTGTTCGCCTTAGGATTGAGGGGGGCTTCTGTGAGCAGCACAGGGTGTTCCTCAGGAGCAACACGAAGCTCATTGTAGAAGGTGTGATGCCAGATTTTTTCCATGTCATCCCAGTTGGTAACAATGCCATGTTCAATAGGGTACTTCAGGGTCAAGATACCTCTCTTGCTTTGAGCCTCATCCCCCACATAGCTATCTTTCTGGCCCATGCCAACCATGACACCCTATAAGAGATAACACACAAAAACCTTTAGCTTATTACAACAATAAAGTGTCAAATACTTTGCACAATTAATTTATTGCTTTGCCACTAACCTGGTGGCGGGGGCGCCCAACAATTGAGGGGAACACAGCACGAGGAGCATCATCTCCAGCAAATCCTGCTTTGCACATACCAGAACCATTGTCAATGACAAGCGCTGCAATTTCTTCTTCCATTTTGCAGATCTGCTTAAACAAAATAATTTTCATTAAATACTGCTTTACAATATATAGCTACTTACCAGTGGAATGCAGCCTTAAAGCTAAGCAGGCAATACAACCTTTGGCCACTAGAGGCTCCTCTAGCCTTTTGCCATCCTCCCTCTAGGAGCCCCACCCTCTTAGCTAGAACCTTACTGCTTTCCCCACCTCAACATTAATCCTGCTCGACAGCCCAGCAGAAATCACTGGCACCCCGCCCCCCGCGTCAGGTTTGCTAAACTGGACTCAGATAATAAAAACCACCAGCCCTCCCATATTGCGCCTCTCGTACCTGCTGGAGTTACTTTGTTGTATGAAAGACTGTGACAAACAACTATGTCAACCCCAGCTGTTTCCTACCACAATCTACAATCTTGTAGACTGATCAAGTGCATTACGCAATGTTACGATCACTTAACATCCAGTAACCACCAGGAACGCCCCGGCCCCCGACATCCCTAGACGTCAAGAAACCCACTCTCACTATTATCACTACGTTGAAATACATTCTGAAGCGCTAGACACCTCCTAGGCCCCAAAACTAGCTTACCCAGGGTCGCCTTCTTCAAACACGGCCACCCCACCAGCACCAGGCACCCAAAAACTTCCACGGCGGCTATCTAGGACAAGGCTTCGCTGATCGCGGATGACGTCTGCACCCCTCCCTCGAACTGATCGAGATACTGCCCCCCCCCCCCCCCCCCCCCCGCGCGCCCCCCCCCCCCCCATTTCCTTGCATGAACAAGAGGGAAAAAAACTCCCGCCCCATTACGTCAACTACGGAGACAGCCAATCACCTGTCAAATGCCCTAAAACGGCGAGCAGCCCCACCTCCTCCCGCTCACCCCATTCAAAGAACCGTTACGAGCGCGCGAATTACGTGAGCCGAGCCTACTCTAAGGAATATTCACGATAAACCATCTACCCTGTTTAGAAACCCTGGGAAAACATTCAGAAGGGAAATGAGAAACAAAAGGAAGAAACTCATACTTCAAAGGACTGCCAACTGAAGGGAAAATTACATATAACACAAACGTCTGACAAAAACTTACAAAAATTCTACTTCCGTCTTCTCGGTAAGGGGAGGACAGACTTAAGGGCCCACCAAAAGAAGCAAGCGAATAGTTGCCAAACTCACCTGTAGGGAGGTGTGAGCTAGGAAGAAAGAGAGATCCGATACTGCTAGATCCGCTGCCGCCGGCTGAGTGAGACCGGGCGAGCGCCAGCCCCGCCCCTTTTATACCCAGGGGGCGCCAGCCCCCGCCTCGACGGCCGAGAACATCGCCATATATGGAGATCTTTCAGAAACACGGACTCCTATTGGCTGGCGCGGGCCGGGCCACGTGGAGCAGACGAAAGAAGTTTGGCACCGCCTCTCGTCTGAACCCCGGAGTCTGTATAACGAAGCGGGGGAGGGGGAATGGTTCGTCTGTGTATGCCTAGAGAGGTCTGGCCAAGGTCTGCACCTTACGGCCCCACTTCTCTTACGAGCGGCTCCGTGGGTCTCCCTCCACCCATCTTTTAGCTGCAATCCGTTCGTGCTTATGAAAGTCTGAGGAAGCATAGGCAGTTGTCACCATTTCAAAGCCAGTCTCTCGATGTCCTGAGATCATACCGTCTAATTCAGTCATTTCTGTATTTTGTGGCGCCTATACTGCTGTTGTGGTCAGTTTCGACGCATAACTATTGTACTTCAGTAGTTGGCAGGAGGGAGGTCTTGCAATAGCATCATCCTGGGGTACCCACTTTACCAGAACTGTAATGGCCTAGGCCCACCAATATATGTGACATCCCTTGCCACTGGAAGGCCTCTGTGCTTTCCACACTGCAATGGTGGTGTCCTTGGCACAGCATGATTACTAAAGTCTGGGGGAATATAGAGCACTTGGGCTCACAAAGTCCACCACTGTGCAGCTCTGCTATGATGCAACTATGGTGTTACTCTTTGGCTTATGTACATCAGTTTGCAGTAGACTTAACATAGGACATGTGTGATGCCTTTGGTTTGCAGCAGCCATAATATTTTCTAGCTAGGCCACGCAGTACTTCCCCTTAGATTAACAGTACCACCATGTTGCTATTTGTGTCTCCCTACCTACGGTCCTGTTAGCACACCTTTAAAGGGGGGGGAGAGAATTATTGCATTCCTGCAACACTTCTCACACTCAAAGGCATCAGTACTTAACCTGATATTCAAAGATGTTTTGAGGATTGCTAAGGGACACAGATGGGAAGTAACAATCCCTCTTGTGACACCGCTGTTCCAATAGCTAACAAATGCCCACTTAATAAGTGTAGGTAGTAAAAAAATTAGCAAAAATCTTCCAATACAAAAACAGAGTTTGTGGAACAACACTCTGCTCTGAATGGTGGCCCTGGAAGGTGTACATTGCCCAAGGTCATCAGAGTACATGGCTTCAGGATGGATGTAAAGCAAGAGGCCAAAAGGGACAGAGAGATGACTGGACTCATAGTAAATGTTCAGACACATCTGCAGGGCTCAGAAGGGTTTAAGGATTTATAACCTGCTTGGATTTGCATCTCAGGTTCCATGGAATCTACGGGATCCAGGCTGCAGAGGTGACTACTAATCCACTATGGTAATTTGGGTCCCACAGTGCATCGATACCCTTTTTATCTCTGAACGTGGTGTGCAATATGCTTCTAATAAACAGGGAAAACAGATCCAGGGTGCATCCATAAGATACAAGTGGAATAAGTAATTTCATAAATAAAAAGGGGCTCACATGGGCCATAATGTTCAGGGTTTATTTTTTGTTGGTTTTTTTTTTTTTACAATGACAAATATGGACAGTGAGGAAGCCTATTTGAGAGTTTGCCCACTATGCCTATGGCTGAAAAGTCCCTTTTAAATTCTGCAAGGTATCAGCATACCTCACTGTATTTGAATGACAGCCCTGTTCAGTTCCCTCCTACAACAGAAGAAGCCCTTTCCTTTTCAGAGCATTAAAATGAGGCACATGTACGCCTCTGTTACGTATGCCTGTGTGCCTGGGGTGAGGTGGGGGGAATGGACTCATCATGTAATTAGGTGAAAACACAAGCCATTGTATACTTTTTAAACTAGACTGCTTAGCTGCTGTAAGAGAGGCTGGAAAGAAAAAGGAAACCAGTCTTATGAATGCTTTTCCTGGCCCACACAAAACTAGTGTTGCTTACAAAGGTAACAATACTGCCATGGAACACAAGTAAAACTGCTGGTCTCCGCCCATCCCTGTTCAGTGTACACACCTAGAAAAATAACTAGACCTCACCTATATGCAGGTGAGTAAGTCATTCCTTTGTTCCTTCTCACAGAAACACAACCAGTTGTCTTCCTAAATTGGGAAGCTGTCTGCCAGATCTACTGATAGCTAAGATACCAGGAGGCCTCAGTGAGTAACAAGCACTGAATCAATGGAAATCAGAACCATAAAATCATGATGAGAGAATAATTATCATTCTATTAATAATGAACATTTATAAAATCACAATATTTTATTCTGGGTTATGTACAGTTTGAACCTAAGGATATTAATACCCTTCTAAGCCCATTGATTTAAATGGACTTATGCGTAAATCAGTTCAGGACTGCATTGTTAATTCTGGAAAATAATAAGTGTTCTGTGCTGGTTAAAAATCAGAGTTCTTTTCATAGGCACACACTGAAAAGATAGTCACCAGTTTATTGCTAATGGTTCCACATTAGTAGACATGATCATTTTTAGGTCTGAAGTATCTTTCTGTGATGTCATCTACAACCCTAAAAAGTAACAAATTCCTGGGAACTGGGAAGGTATTTGAATTGCGGGGGGTCCCCTTTATCTCTTTGTTTATCTAGTCATCCCTAGTCATTCATAGCTGCTGTCCATCCTGGTAAAGCTTGAATTAAGGTAGGAGGAGTTTTTTCCTTCTAAAACCCTTGAAGAAATGGAATGTTTAGAGGCTTTAAAGGAAAGGCCCCAATCCTTACAAGAAGGCCTGGTCTTGTGGTCTCTTTTAATCCCAGTTCTCTAAATTTTGGTTGTATATTTCCCTTTAAAGTTATATGACAATAAGGAAAAAATACATGCCATGATCAAGAGTTAGCAATATTTCAGATTAAAAGAGGAACTTTTTGTAGGTCAGAAGATATAAAATTCTAATGTAGAATTGAACAGCAAGCTCACATACTCAGACAGCACCTAATAGTGTATGTGTTTAATATTTGTCTGCCTATCAAAAACTACAATCCAAGAATTCAATACAGGGATTAGTCCTAAGAAGGTCTACTCAAACCTAAGTGTATTATTCAATGGGCCTTGATCCCACATAGCCAGCTGACCCGCATTTTCTAATTGGGGCCAGAATGTATTTTTTAAAACACATCTTCGTCTCACCATTCTGCAAATATGCTTTTTAAACAACGGACAAAATATTTACTTGGATCCCCTCTTCGGTTTTATAATTTACAGCTTAATGCTTCTAATTTACAGGAGAGTGAGCAGACTTGCAACAACACAGGACCATTTGACTGTTCCTAATCTTTTATGGTGCAGGAAAAACCAGCATGCTAAAAAAACAGCATGCTAAAAAACCCCTCTAGCTCTTCCAATTAATAAACTAAACATATTCCTGTAAGGGGGAGGGGTTGAAGGCGGGGCCTGAAGCCGACGATAGGAATGCCTAGTAGTTTCCTGCAGGCCGGAGTACAGCGATGGCCTCTTCCCTCAAAGTCACTTGCATTCCTTCGAGATTCCTTTGTGCCGAAAGGGAGGGCGTGATTCCTTTGGAGAAGCCACGGGGGCTCTCATGAGACAGCCTGCTGCCGGTTCTCCCGCGACGTTCTGGTCACGGCTGCACAGAGCGATGGCCTTGCGCTCTTGCTAGTGCAGAGACGCCGCGCAGCAAAGGAGTGGGGCGAGACCCACACCGGCCGCTGCCGACTCGCCCCAGGCTCCGACCACCGCCTCCGTGCGAGCGAGCGAGCCAGCCAGCACAAGGCAGCAGCAGCCAACGCCGAGTCCGGTCTCAAGCTGCAAACAATGGCCGGGAGCACCGGATCTGGGAGGCAAGGCACTCGGCCGCCCCAGAATCTGCATACCACATAATTTCCACTATCGTTGCCAGCTGCGCTAGCTTCTCGTCGCTGCTCTCTTGCTTGTTGTTTGCCGGGCAAGGCTGTTCGCAGAGAACTGTTTGCTGGCGCGCGGAACCTGCAAAGGCCTCGGGCGTGAAGGGCGGCTGGAAGCAACGTAGTTAGGGGCGAGTACAGGGCGAAAAATGGACGACGACGCCCCGCCAACTACAGCCCGCGGAGCATGACAGCGCCATCGGCATGTGCTTATGCCACGTCATGGCACTGCAGCAGCAGAAACGGGCTGGATTTTGGGTGTCTAACGCAGGTCTCTGTGAGAGACGGGATTTTAGGGCAAGGAACAGCGCCGACTCTCGCAGGTGATCAGACATGCTGGCGATGATGGGGCAACTTTCCGGGGTTTTCCACATGACTCATGGGAGGGCGAGGTGCAGCTGGTTTTCAGGATGTTCCTTTCTGGAAATGAAGTGCTTTATCAAAGGCAGTTCCTTCATTCCAAAACACACCGTTGTTCCCTTGAACCTACCTGGTGCCTGACTACTGATGGAGCTCTCAGCGTTGACGTCTCCCCGTGTTCCCCCTCCCCATTTGACTCTTTAGATTCGCCTCCCTCCAAATATGAGCTGTCAGGAGAAATGGCCCCTTTTCTAAAATGAAAGCGGCGGGGTCTTCCGTTTATTTTTCCTGCACAGGAAGCCTTTAGACAGGCTTGGCTATCGAGGGAACTCTCTCCTAATCTAACGTAGCATTGCAAGAGGTACGGGTCCTAGTCCCGACCCAGCTGCAGACCTCCAGCGTTCAGATCGTCCATTGATTTCTTGCAAGTCAGATAAATCAGGTGGAATGCCAGCCCCTTCCTGCATGTCCTCTCTTGCGAAAGGAAGCACTTCTGCAGCCCCTCTCTCGTCCTGTTAATTTCCTCGTTAGCCCCGGCTGCTGTAGCATCCCCCACAGAGGGAGAGAGGCGGGGGGGGGGGGGGGGGGGGTAGCCGCGAACCGAAACCTGGTGGGTGTGTGCCGCCCAGAGCAAGGTGGTGCTAAGTAGTTCAGGTGACACGGAGAACTGGGAGGGAAAACAAAAGGCTCTTCGCATGCCTATATTTGGAGATTTCTGGCCACTGCC